TGGGACGAAGCCCTCCCCCTTTCTTCGGAATGACAAAATAACGGCTGTACCAACCTTTGTCCGTCTCCGAAGCGGGGACCACCCGTATTGCTCTCTTCTGTAATAGCGCCTGTATTTCCTCTCTGAGTACCAAGGCTGCCTCGGGGTTGACAATCGTGTTCACGACTTTTTGGAAACGAGGCGGCTTGACCCGGAACTGCAACCGGTAACCCATGGCAACGGTCTGCAGCACCCACGGAGAGGGGCCGCAAGCGCGCCACTGAGGGAAGTGAGCAGCCAGCCGGCTGGCCTGCAGCACTGACGGCGGGGCGCCGTCGCCCCCCAGTGTGTCTGCAGGGGACTGCATCCCCTGCCTGACCTGGCTCATTTCGCCTGCAGGTTGAGCATTTGAGATTGTTTGAGAGTAAACCACACTCTTTATTGATTGCAACATGGGAACATGTACATTTATACATTTTGTTGGGTGCACCTTTTCCGGGGCATAACAATGAAAAACAGCGGGAACACTCGATGTGGTCGCTTGAACATTCAACACATCTGAACCGTGTGCAGGGTTATGTGCTTGGGAGACCGCGATAGGGAAGTGCAGCGCCTTCTGGGGCTGACAACCTGAACAGAACTTAAGCGGCACCTCTTGTGCGGCAACAGAGGGGTAAGAGCAGCGTCTCCCTGCTGCCGGATCCCTTCCCCACTCGCAATCACAGCTAGGAGGGCTGAGGCTTCTTCCTCCTGGGCGTCGGGTCCCGTCGGGGGCCCGGGGGAGGGCCTTTGCCCCAGGCCGACTGGCGTGGAGCTCGGGCCGGAGTACGTGCTCTCGCCGGCGGCCCTCCACTCCAGCAGTGGGCGCCGGTCTCTTGCCAGCTGTCAGAGGAGCGGCGGGCCTGTGAGAGCTAGCAGTGGGCTTGGGCTGGGGCTGGCGTCTGGGGATGATGTCGCGCAGAGCTTCCGTCTGCTTCTTCCTCAGATCGAATCTAGCCTGAATGGCTTCAAGTGAATGTCCGAATAACCCAGCCGCAGACACTGGTGCGTCCAGATACACAGCTCTGTCTCTATCAGGGACGTCGGAGAGGGTCAGCCACAGGTGCCTCTGCGCCACCACTGTCGAAGCCATCCCTCTGCCCAGGGAGAGCGCTGCACAGCGAGACGCACGGAGGATGTAATCCGTGGTGACTCTAACCTCGTTAAGAAGAAGTGACAGCGGGCTGTCCTCCGGAACCAGCGATCCAAGCTCCGCCAAGCACATTGCTTGGTACGTCTGGAGCATGGTGACGGAGCTCATGGCTCGAGCGGTGCCGGCCTGAGCCCGATAAATCTTCTCCAGCTGCGAGGCCGAGAATCTGCAGTGCTTGGACGGCAGAGTTGCGGGGCCACCGACACCATGGTTATGGGACGGGGCCAGATAAGCAGCCAGAGACGGCTCCATAGGGGGTGGGTTAGCTAAACCAGCTCCCTCGGCGCCGTCCAATTCCATGTACTGTCCATAGCCGGGCACAGTGACGCGGGTAGACAGAGGTTTGTCCCATGACGCTGTTAGCTCGCAGAGAAAGTCTGGGAACATGGGGAGGCAGTTTTTGGCCGTTGCGGGCTCCGGTGGAAGGAAAAAACCCGCAAACCGCGACGGCTTCCGAGCTGGTGGAGGAGAGGGCCAGTCCACCTGCAGCTTCTCAGCGGCACGGCGAAACAGGGAGAAAGAGAGGTGTCATCGTGGCCGACCGGCGCAGCAGCGGCGGCATATTGGGTCGACAATGAGCTCTCCTGCTCATCCTCCGACAAACCATGGATGTCCAGGCCGATGTCCAGCACGTCATCGTCTTCCTGGGGAGCGCTGGCGGGCTTCAACCCAGGCTGAAGCCCGTCAGCGCTCCTGCATGGTTCCGGTCCGTCATCGGCTAACCCGTCAACGTATTCCATGTGGTCAGCCCAGCTAATCGCGGGGACATCGACCTGAAAATTTTCGTCTTCGGACTCGGACGAAGCCGGGGCTCCAGACTCGGAAAGAAGAGGGTCGTGCCGTGCGACAGCCGAGCGTCCCAGCACTCTTTCCACAAACGTCACCCGTCTTTCCAGGGTCGAGCGTCGGAGCTGGCGACAAAACGCACAAGCTTCGGGCTCCGTCAACGCTCTCCTAGCGTGGACGATCCCCAGGCAGACAGGGCAGGCATCGTGCTGGTCGCTGTCGTGCAAAGAGAAACCACATCCCTGAGGACAGGGGCGAACAGAAGATTTCTGCTTTGCTCGCTTCGGTTTGGAGTCCATTCCCAAAACGCAAAGCGAAACGCTGCACAAGAAAAACTTGAAAATAGCGCTCCGCGGGCAGCCTACGCACCAGCTGGGCGGTGGAGGCTAACACCAACAGGGGCAGTTAAGCTAGGTTCAAGTTGGCAGACAACGGAGCTAACTAGCAGTAGCTAGCTAGCCCAACTCAGCAGAGGTGTTCTCAGCGAGGTGAAGAGCGTAAGAACTGAGGGATGACGGTGATGGCAGCGGCTATATGTGCGGGCGGGGCCTTGCGCGTGTCATCACACGTCATCTGCCGTAAAGGCGTGAATAAAGGTTTCTTCAGCCAGGACACGCGAGGGCGTGATATCCCATACTTATGTGTTGTACCGAGTGAATCGACTGAAAGGGAACTAATCTATGCAATATATCGGTGTGACTGCTTTTATTTTCTATTTCTGGTACAATACTAGCCTGCAAGCAGGAAAGAAATGATAAGGCAGGGAGTACATGTAACATTATGAGAAAACAGTGCTGAGCATGCTTCCGACTACTAACAACAGGCCAAACCATGGTCTCACACTGCCACCTACTGGTACAAAAATGGAGCATCAGCTACAAATATCCCAGACTAGTTACCAGGTCTATAGTTAAACTAGTTAATTTAGAGGATTTTCAAAAGAAAATATCACTTACATTTAAAGTAAAATAGCTGAAATATAAGTTAATTCACATAAGTGTGATTAGACGTTAGTGGCTATCACACACACACACACGTTCATACTGTTGCTCTTTGATTAGATAACTCTATGGCTGCTGTCAATATACAGGCGAAGCTTACGGGTTATGCAGCCAACTTTGTAAGTTGGATCATTAAGTCTATGAATCACCCTGTTAAGCACAAAAAGGTGCTTACACAACTGAAAAATCTGATATGTCTTTTCCACAGGGGACTCACCTTTGTATAGCAGACGGATATAGATTGAAGACTGGTTGGGTTGGCCAAATAGTCCATTCCAACTTTAACTCTAAGACAGAGGGTGGCCATCCTTATGGGTAAAAACGTCCCATTTCCTGTATCAACCATTTTATCTGATCCTATGGGTCCTTATTATGGGTCCGTATTACTGTGGTTGGCCAACATTATGGACTTTATGGACAACTTTATGAACTGATTTAAGCCAACATTTACGCCCCCAAATGGGATGATGAAACCTTAATTGTCTATTAATTCTCGTGAATTCTGGATATGACAACACACAATCTCATTTTAGCTGGAGGTACAAGCTGTGTGCTCTCTAACCTAGAAAGAAGCTCTAATAAGGATACTCATCCAGGTCATGCTCCGACTATATTCCTGTCCACAAAATGTTCTATTGGATAAATTCATTTGTCACTGATAAATGTCCTCTTCCACTTATTGAAACTTGCAATTATCAATCTATTGTTATTTCAGATCATACCCCCTATTGATGAGATGGGGGTTGGATGCTCACAGCCCTCCGCCTCTGGCAGTGGCCCTTTCTACTAAGGAGGCAAGAGTTCTGCATGTCCTGGTGACCCTCCACCTGTTTCACAGGTGGGTGCAGCCTGATCTATCTAGTGAAAGTCTAGACAGACCAGACCAGCTCAACCACACAGACACTTCCTACCCGATTTGAGGACAAAAGCAGAGTATGCAATATGTGGGACAAACACACACACACACACACAAATGGCAAATGTGAGATCATGGGAATCGAAGCAGCTTGAACCGAAAGTGACTAAAAATTGTCAAGGCTGAGCAGGACTCAAGCGCAGACTACGAATCACAATAAACATTTTTTTATTTACATGACACAGAGTGCACTATATACAAGTGGGGAGAAGGGTCCAGCGAATCCAGAGGTCCATGGAGGGTGGGGGGCTCCACAGGCTCACTGCAACTGCCACACTCACGAACAGGGTCTCAAGGCGGGGCACGGAAAATCTATATACAAGGACAAAATGTTAAATGCCAAGCAAAGCACAAAGAGAAATCAAAATATTTCCAAAGCTAGAATTGCACTAACGAATGTTACACAGTAGTCCAGCGACAAAGGGCTCCAAGCAACTGCCTTCAGAAGTGGCTGGTAAACAGGATGATGAACCTCAGGTGAGAAATTGCTTGCAGGTGTGAGGACAGCAACCGGGAGCCCATGATTAGGTCCGCCCAGGCATCGCGTTGTGAGCAGGGAAGCAAGAAAGAAAGTGAGAGAAACAAAAACAAATACATATACATGTAGCGTAACTGGACCATGACAGTAATATTTCAGTTTGATCAACCATCTCAACAAGTTCAATTACTTTCTTTTCAAGCTGCTTACACTACATTGACTTATGTTTTTACACAATCTCAGAAGAGGAGAGCCACTGAGGGAACGCCTTCCGCCCTCCACACACTCACTCACAGATCAGTTGAAAGGGACAGAAGAAATGGCAAAAGTGAGAATATCTCACACACACACACAACAGAGGGGAAGAGATAGAGAAATTGGCAAATGTGAGATCATGCTAAGCAGCTTGAACTGAAAGTGACTGGAAATGTTTACGTTAGATCATCCACCCATCCATTCTCTGCTGTGTTTCTTTTCCAGTGTCACAGGGCAGCTCGAGCCTATCCCAGCTATCTTAGGGCGAGAAGCAGGGTGCACCCTCGACAGGTCACCAGTCTGTTACAGGGCTAACACATAGACGCAGAAAACCATTCGCACCTATCGCCACTTTACACTCTTCGATTACCTATTGCCACTAACTGCAGGTCGTTGGACTGTGGCAGGAAGCCGGACTACAAGGAAAGAACCCACGCAAACACAGGAAGAACATGCAAACTCCACACAGAGCGACGGTAGAGCTGAACTCAAGACCTTCTTCCTGTGTGGTAACGGTGCTAACCACTGTGCCGCCCGCGTGTGAGCAACCGTCTCCCAGAAATTTAAAAAAGTTCAGTTACTTTCTTTCAAGCTGCTTACACTACATTAACTTGTGTTTTTACAGAATCTCAGAAGAGGAGAGCCACTGAGGGAACGCCTTCCGCCCTCCGACGCCTCCACCGTGACCTCCACTTCTGAGAGGAATTGCCCACAGATCAAGCATGGAGTGTGCCTGAATGGACATACAGAACTCCAAGGTTCGGCCCAGTGTTGAGGGTTTTCCCAAAGGAGAGGGCCCGGCGGGCGGTGCCTCACAGCCCTCTGCCTCTGGGAGTGGCCCCTTTCTACTAAGGAGGCAAGAGGTGGCCAGGAGTCTGTCAGCGAGTTCTGCATGTCCTGGTGACCCTCCACCTGTTTCACAGGTGGGTGCAGCCTGATCTATCTAGTGAAAGTCTAGACAGACCAGACCAGCTCAACCACACAGACACTTCCTACCTGATTTGAGGACAAAAGCAGAGTATGCAATATGTGGGACACACACACACACACACACACACACACACACACACACACACACACACACACACAGATCAGTTGAAAGGGACAGAAGAAATGGCAAAAGTGAGAATATCTCACACACACACACACAACACACACACACACACACACACACACACACACACTCACAGATCAGTTGAAAGGGACAGAAGAAATGGCAAAAGTGAGAATATCTCACACACACACACAACAGAGGGGGAAGAGATAGAGAAATTGGCAAATGTGAGATCATGCTAAGCAGCTTGAACTGAAAGTTACTGGAAATGTTTACGTTAGATCAGCCACCCATCCATTCTCTGCTGTGTTTCTTTTCCAGTGTCACAGGGCAGCTCGAGCCTATCCCAGCTATCTTAGGGCGAGAAGCAGGGTGCACCCTCGACAGGTCACCAGTCTGTTACAGGGCTAACACATAGACGCAGAAAACCATTCGCACCTATCGCCAATTTACACTCTTCGATTACCTATTGCCACTAACTGCAGGTCGTTGGACTGTGGCAGGAAGCCGGACTACAAGGAAAGAACCCACGCAAAATCAGGAAGAACATGCAAACTCCACACAGAGCGACGGTAGAGCTGAACTCAAGACCTTCTTCCTGTGCGGTAACGGTGCTAACCACTGTGCCGCCCGCGTGTGAGCAACCGTCTCCCAGAAATTTAAAAAAGTTCAGTTACTTTCTTTCAAGCTGCTTACACTACATTGACTTTTGTTTTTACACAATCTCAGAAGAGGAGAGCCACTGAGGGAACGCCTTCCGCCCTCCGACGCCTCCACCGTGACCTCCACTTCTGAGAGGAATTGCCCACAGATCAAGCATGGAGTGTGCCTGAATGGACATACAGAACTCCAAGGTTCGGCCCAGTGTTGAGGGTTTTCCCAAAGGAGAGGGCCCGGCGGGCGTGCCTCACAGCCCTCTGCCTCTGGGAGTGGCCCCTTTCTACTAAGGAGGCAAGAGGTGGCCAGGAGTCTGTCAGCGAGTTCTGCATGTCCTGGTGACCCTCCACCTGTTTCACAGGTGGGTGCAGCCTGATCTATCTAGTGAAAGTCTAGACAGACCAGACCAGCTCAACCACACAGACACTTCCTACCTGATTTGAGGACAAAAGCAGAGTATGCAATATGTGGGACACACACACACACAAGATCAGTTGAAAGGGACAGAAGAAATGGCAAAAGTGAGAATATCTCACACACACATAACAGAGGGGGAAGAGATAGAGAATTGGCAAATGTGAGATCATGCTAAGCAGCTTGAACTGAAAGTGACTGGAAATGTTTACGTTTGATCAGCCACCCATCCATTCTCTGCTGTGTTTCTTTTCCAGTGTCACAGGGCAGCTCGAGCCTATCCCAGCTATCTTAGGGCGAGAAGCAGGGTGCACCCTCGACAGGTCACCAGTCTGTTACAGGGCTAACACATAGACGCAGAAACATTCGCACCTATCGTCAATTTACACTCTTCGATTACCTATTGCCACTAACTGCAGGTCGTTGGACTGTGGCAGGAAGCAGGAAGCCGGAGTACAAGGAAAGAACCCACGCAAACACAGGAAGAACATGCCAACTCCACACAGAGCGACGGTAGAGCTGAACTCAAGACCTTCTTCCTGTGTGGTAACGGTGCTAACCACTGTGCCGCCCGCGTGTGAGCAACCGTCTCCCAGAAATTTAAAAAAGTTCAGTTACTTTCTTTCAAGCTGCTTACACTACATTGACTTTGTTTTTACACAATCTCAGAAGAGGAGAGCCACTGAGGGAACGCCTTCCGCCCTCCGACGCCTCCACCGTGACCTCCACTTCTGAGAGGAATTGCCCACAGATCAAGCATGGAGTGTGCCTGAATGGACATACAGAACTCCAAGGTTCGGCCCAGTGTTGAGGGTTTTCCCAAAGGAGAGGGCCCGGCGGGCGGTGCCTCACAGCCCTCTGCCTCTGGGAGTGGCCCCTTTCTACTAAGGAGGCAAGAGGTGGCCAGGAGTCTGTCAGCGAGTTCTGCATGTCCTGGTGACCCTCCACCTGTTTCACAGGTGGGTGCAGCCTGATCTATCTAGTGAAAGTCTAGACAGACCAGACCAGCTCAACCACACAGACACTTCCTACCTGATTTGAGGACAAAAGCAGAGTATGCAATATGTGGGACAAACACACACACACACACACACACACACACACACACACACACACACACACACACTCACAAATCAGTTGAAAGGGACAGAAGAAATGGCAAAAGTGAGAATATCTCACACAACACAACAGAGGGGGAAGAGATAGAGAAATTGGCAAATGTGAGATCATGCTAAGCAGCTTGAACTGAAAGTGACTGGAAATGTTTACGTTGATCAGCCACCCATCCATTCTCTGCTGTGTTTCTTTTCCAGTGTCACAGGGCAGCTCGAGCCTATCCCAGCTATCTTAGGGCGAGAAGCAGGGTACACCCTCGACAGGTCACCAGTCTGTTACAGGGCTAACACATTGAAGCAGAAAACCATTCGCACCTATCGCCAATTTACACTCTTCGATTACCTATTGCCACTCACTGCAGGTCGTTGGACTGTGGCAGGAAGCAGGAAGCCGGAGTACAAGGAAAGAACCCACGCAAACACAGGAAGAACATGCAAACTCCACACAGAGCGACGGTAGAGCTGAACTCAAGACTTCTTCCTGTGGGGTAACGGTGCTAACCACTGTGCCGCCCGCGTGTGAGCAACCGTCTCCCAGAAATTTAAAAAAGTTCAGTTACTTTCTTTCAAGCTGCTTACACTACATTGACTTATGTTTTTACAGAATCTCAGAAGAGGAGAGCCACTGAGGGAACGCCTTCCGCCCTCCAACGCCTCCACCGTGACCTCCACTTCTGAGAGGAATTGCCCACAGATCAAGCATGGAGTGTGCCTGAATGGACATACAGAACTCCAAGGTTCGGCCCAGTGTTGAGGGTTTTCCCAAAGGAGAGGCCGGCGGGCGGTGCCTCACAGCCCTCTGCCTCTGGGAGTGGCCCCTTTCTACTAAGGAGGCAAGAGGTGGCCAGGAGTCTGTCAGCGAGTTCTGCATGTCCTGGTGACCCTCCACCTGTTTCACAGGTGGGTGCAGCCTGATCTATCTAGTGAAAGTCTAGACAGACCAGACCAGCTCAACCACACAGACACTTCCTACCTGATTTGAGGACAAAAGCAGAGTATGCAATATGTGGGACACACACACACACACACACACACACACACACACACACACCACACACACAGATCAGTTGAAAGGGACAGAAAAATGGCAAAAGTGAGAATATCTCACACACACACAACAGAGGGGGAAGAGATAGAGAAATTGGCAAATGTGAGATCATGCTAAGCAGCTTGAACTGAAAGTGACTGGAAATGTTTACGTTTGATCAGCCACCCATCCATTCTCTGCTGCGTTTCTTTTCCAGTGTCACAGGGCAGCTCGAGCCTATCCCAGCTATCTTAGGGCGAGAAGCAGGGTGCACCCTCGACAGGTCACCAGTCTGTTACAGGGCTAACACATAGACGCAGAAAACCATTCGCACCTATCGCCAATTTACACTCTTCGATTACCTATTGCCACTAACTGCAGGTCGTTGGACTGTGGCAGGAAGCCGGACTACAAGGAAAGAACCCACGCAAAAACAGGAAGAACATGCAAACTCCACACAGAGCGACGGTAGAGCTGAACTCAAGACCTTCTTCCTGTGCGGTAACGGTGCTAACCACTGTGCCGCCCGCGTGTGAGCAACCGTCTCCCAGAAATTTAAAAAAGTTCAGTTACTTTCTTTCAAGCTTCTTACACTACATTAACTTATGTTTTTACAGAATCTCAGAAGAGGAGAGCCACTGAGGGAACGCCTTCCGCCCTCCGACACCTCCACCGTGACCTCCACTTCTGAGAGGAATTGCCACAGATCAAGCATGGAGTGTGCCTGAATGGACATACAGAACTCCAAGGTTCGGCCCAGTGTTGAGGGTTTTCCCAAAGGAGAGGGCCCGGCGAGCGGTGCCTCACAGCCCTCTGCCTCTGGGAGTGGCCCCTTTCTACTAAGGAGGCAAGAGGTGACCAGGAGTCTGTCAGCAAGTTCTGCATGTCCTGGTGACCCTCCACCTGTTTCACAGGTGGGTGCAGCCTGATCTATCTAGTGAAAGTCTAGACAGACCAGACCAGCTCAACCACACAGACACTTCCTACCTGATTTGAGGACAAAAGCAGAGTATGCAATATGTGGGACAAACACACACACACACACACACACACACACACACACACACACACACACACACACACACACACACACTCACACACACACAGATCAGTTGAAAGGGACAGAAGAAATGGCAAAAGTGAGAATATCTCACACACACACAACAGAGGGGGAAGAGATAGAGAAATTGGCAAATGTGAGATCATGCTAAGCAGCTTGAACTGAAAGTGACTGGAAATGTTTACGTTAGATCAGCCACCCATCCATTCTCTGCTGTGTTTCTTTTCCAGTGTCACAGGGCAGCTCGAGCCTATCCCAGCTATCTTAGGGCGAGAAGCAGGGTACACCCTCGACAGGTCACCAGTCTGTTACAGGGCTAACACATTGAAGCAGAAAACCATTCGCACCTATCGCCAATTTACACTCTTCGATTACCTATTGCCACTAACTGCAGGTCGTTGGACTGTGGCAGGAAGCCGGACTACAAGGAAAGAACCCACGCAAAAACAGGAAGAACATGCAAACTCCACACAGAGCGACGGTAGAGCTGAACTCAAGACCTTCTTCCTGTGGGGTAACGGTGCTAACCACTGTGCCGCCCGCGTGTGAGCAACCGTCTCCCAGAAATTTAAAAAAGTTCAGTTACTTTCTTTCAAGCTGCTTACACTACATTGACTTTTGTTTTTACACAATCTCAGAAGAGGAGAGCCACTGAGGGAACGCCTTCCGCCCTCCAACGCCTCCACCGTGACCTCCACTTCTGAGAGGAATTGCCCACAGATCAAGCATGGAGTGTGCCTGAATGGACATACAGAACTCCAAGGTTCGGCCCAGTGTTGAGGGTTTTCCCAAAGGAGAGGGCCGGCGGGCGGTGCCTCACAGCCCTCTGCCTCTGGGAGTGGCCCCTTTCTACTAAGGAGGCAAGAGGTGGCCAGGAGTCTGTCAGCGAGTTCTGCATGTCCTGGTGACCCTCCACCTGTTTCACAGGTGGGTGCAGCCTGATCTATCTAGTGAAAGTCTAGACAGACCAGACCAGCTCAACCACACAGACACTTCCTACCTGATTTGAGGACAAAAGCAGAGTATGCAATATGTGGGACAAACACACACACACACACACACACACACACACACACACACACACACACACACTCACAGATCAGTTGAAAGGGACAGAAGAAATGGCAAAAGTGAGAATATCTCACACACACACACAACAGAGGGGGAAGAGATAGAGAAATTGGCAAATGTGAGATCATGCTAAGCAGCTTGAACTGAAAGTGACTGGAAATGTTTACGTTTGATCAGCCACCCATCCATTCTCTGCTGTGTTTCTTTTCCAGTGTCACAGGGCAGCTCGAGCCTATCCCAGCTATCTTAGGGTGAGAAGCAGGGTACACCCTCGACAGGTCACCAGTCTGTTACAGGGCTAACACAGATACAGACAACCCTAGACACTTAAGAGCATTTCAGAGTTTCTCCACAAACTAGGATTTTGGAAAGAGGCCGGAGCACGTGGAGTGAACCCCCACAAACACTTTGAGAACATGAGAAGTCCATACAGAAAGACCTCAGCCTGATAGTGGAGTTGAAATCAGGATCTTCTTGCTGTGCGGGCAACTATATTAAACCACTGTGCCACCGTGTTGCCCTTGTTTGTTCACCCGTCAATGAATTCATTTACTTCATTACTAAGCTTCTTACCTTTACACATGCACCCACACACAGGGGAAAGAGCTAGAGGAAATGGCAAATGTTAGATGATAATCTCTCTCTCACTCACACACACAAGACAAGGGGAGAGAGAAAGAAGAAATGACAAATGTGAGATCATCGCACGCACACACACACACACTCACAAACGCACAAACAGACACACACAGGGGATAGAGATAGAGGAAACGGCAAATGTGAGATCAAGCTAAGCAGGTTGAATCAAAAGTGACTGGACATATTTACGTTTGATCAACGGTCTCCAAAATGTGAGTGAAGTTGGCCCCCCACCTTCTTCAAATCCAACAAAAGTGGTATCAAACGTTTGTGCTGCAAAAATTTTCGTTTGTGCTGCTATCATTTTAAAGATATTAATAAAAATTTCTAGAGGTCATCAGAGGTCAACCAGCCCCGTCATATTAATGGAATCAAACAAAATTGGTGTCAATCAGTTGTGCTATGTTTGTGCTGGTTTGTGCTCCTAAAATTGTTGTTTGTGCCGCTATCATTTTAAAAATATTAATAAAACAACGTCTTGATGCGTGCTTAATCATCCGGGTAAGTAAATTCCAAAAGGTTGATTCTGTTCATCCGGACACTTTCAGTGGGAGAAACGTTTCGTCACTCATCCAAGTGACTTCTTCAGTCTCAGCTGACTGCAGTTTTCCCCAATCTTATAAACAGTACATTTGACCTTTACATTTTCATTAATGTCTTTGAAAACAGAAGCAGCACAAACGACAACTTTAGCAGCACAAACCAGCACAAACATAGCACAACTGATTGACACTAATTTTGTTTGATTCCATTAATATGAGGGGGCTGGTTGACCTCTGATGACCTCTAGAAATTTTTATTAATATCTTTAAAATGATAGCAGCACAAACGACAATTTTTGCAGCACAAACGCAGCACAAACGTTTGATACCACTTTTGTTGGATTTGAAGAGTGAGTGAAGTTGGCCCCCCCGCTCACGTCTCCAAGACATTTAAATGGATGTGCTGCAGGGATTGTCATAACATAACCTGATTAACATGTTATCTGCTGACTGTTAGGGGTCGACAAGCAAAACGAGCTCCTGGTACAAAATGCCTTACTGTTTCCCATTACCACAAATGATGCAAAGGTTGCTCTCCACAAATGTGGGCATAGTGTGCTATGAGTGCGTCATAAAACTGTAGAGATAGAGCTTATGTGAGATGTTTGTGTGATGCTATAACAGAGCCGCAACAAATTTTTTGAAGTGATCAGCAATAGCTGTGAAGCTATTCATTACTGAGTTCATGTTTGGAACTTTGATTTCTGTTTATTTTTCTGTTTGTTTTCAATAAATTGGATGCTCAAAAAATGCTTTTGTCCAATTTCTGCTTGTTGCATGTTGAAGCTCTACTTGGAACCTTGTTAAGATCCAACCATGCAAAATATGACTTTTTATTTTTTTGTTGCAATTTTTCAAGAGGTCTTAAACTTTTGATCGGGACTGTATCTCTATTCAGACCAGCTTGATTGTGACATCACAGAACAGAACCTCCCTGCAGTCTGTTGTTTTTATTGTGTGTGTGTTTTTTTTAAATCTGCCATTGCTTTAGATATTTCAACCTTTTTGAAAATTATTTTCTTTTGCAGTTAGGATCCTTATTTGCTTTAAATCCATCACAGTACAGCAAACTAACCTTTTTAAACACAACCGAGTATTTTCCTGCAGCCTTTAAGTAACACAGTCTACCTAAGTTTGATTTGTAGCACGTTTCACACTATGTAAAAAACATAATGTTACCTGTACAGACCCAGTATATGATTTAAAACACGAGGACTTACACGTGATCTTTAAATGAGGAGTCCTTACCTTTAAATGTGACGTCTCTTCTTCCTCTCCTGTCTTGTCTTTCTAAACCTTCTTCTTGTCTCAGCTTGATTTCTTGTTTCTTCGTGTCAAACACCGCAGCCGGCGATTTGGCTACCAACGCACTGTGCTACACACTACACACAGTTTGTGTGTGCTGACATTTGTTGAGCTGATAGAAACGCTGCATTTGAAATTATCTGCCAATTAAAAAAAAAAAAGTCACTCCCTTTATGCGTCTTCCTCTTCGGATAGGTAGATCCCAACGTACCGAAGCCGCAACTTAGGGACACATGCCGTTTTTCCGGTCTTGTGGCAAAAAGAAAAAAAGAAGAAAAAACCCCAAGTGTCCCACTCTTAACTCCTGACCTTTTCAAATGTCCACAAAGTCCGCATTGACTCTACAACTTCCTTTATCTTCGTTCCCATGGTAACGAAGGGATACACATATTATAAAGGAGAATGCGCTTCTATCTGATTCTATCTGAAAAACCGTTGAGAAGTGCTGTGGTTTTTAGCCCCACTTATTTGCGCTCTTCCTCTCCTTCATCGGGTGCAGCTTCACCTAGGGATGGATGGACACACACACACACACCCACTGCTCCACCCCTCCCCTGATGCTGCTCAGCCACAAACCACACCCCGCCACAGGCACGTGCAGAGGGGGGCTAGAGGGGCTTGAGCACCCGCCCTTTCCTGATGGGTGCCCAAAGTGCCCTTTTGTTGAGGCAACTTTTTTAAAAAAAATTATTTATTTTTTTATGTGTGTGTGTGTGCGTGCGGAGTCTTGTCTGTGCCCATCAACAATAATATTTAACTATTAATCACAGTTTTGCTAAATAAAAGGATCTGGCTTGCATCAGTCACATGATCACATTTAACCAATGATCGCCCTTGACGGCAGAACGCGCTGGTTACGAGCCGGGAACGAGCTCACAAAGAGCACGCGCATTTGTTGCGGTCCGGAGCTGTAGGAGAAACACAAGTTAACTCAGAGACACAGACTGATGCGACAAACCCAGTAAGTAGGTGCACAGCGTGCACTGTAGTGTATAGCACCCAGGAGTATTAGCTTATTACGTACACGTTGGTAAGTTGTCTTGTGGCAACTGACGAACTGAAACAAACGAGCGTGCTGTGTGTGCAACAGCGCGACAAACATTACCTGTCCTTTTATTAACTGCACAAGCAGTGCTGGTCACAGCTGCTGGCTACCTGTGTAAGGCTGTCATGGATCTGTAGCTCTGTCACCGTTTTAGGGAACATATTTAGTTTTAAAGTAAGTTTCCGGGCTTTTCCTGCCTTTCTGGAGGGATTATATTTCACTAAAAAACGATCTAATATGCATGTCCACATAATAATTATTATAATTATAATATATTAAAAACACACGCTGTATTTTAAAGAACATACATTAAGAAGCAGATTATATTAGATTTATATTTTAAATAAGACAAAAGTTGGATTTTACAGCAGTAAAATGATTGTATCTCTGCAGTTTAAAATGTAATAAGCTTTGCCCCTGCACAGAGTGGATAGTGAAACAAATGGAATCATCATAAATACATTATTTCATATTTATTACTTCCCCTCCTCATTGCGTTATTATTGTAGCTCTAGTAATAAATAATAATGTAAGGATTATGGATCAGCACCGTGATGCCCATAGTATATACAGTATTCTGAAGAAGGTCTAAAATGTCACTGTGTGTGCGTGCATGTGTGTGTTTTATTTAGATGGATTTTTTAAAATATTACTCATGATATAACATTGTCCAGACATGCCTGGTAAGGACATGAGGAGGAAACAGCAGGAGCTGTGTGAGGCTACTAAAGGCAGTGCTATAACATTTTTCTGTCATCATTTATTATAGATTAAGTGCAAGAGTTGTTAGGTGTGGATAATTAGATTATAGTTTATTGCAATAGCAAGTTGTGCCTTCAAAGGAGCTTGCAAGACTACGATGACCTGGATGACTGAGAACCTTCACAGACAAGTTGTGCCTTGTTCTCACATAGCAAGTGGAGAGTGATATATGAAATGATGGGATGGAAGGAAGAGAGAAGCAAAGAGTGATTCACAGGCAGAGCCTAATTTATTTCTCACAGTTTTTTGTTGCCTTATGGTTCCAAGCGCTGTCACCAATCTTTGCATTTTGTTATTATCTCATGACACTTGTTTAATCAGCTACCATCTCTCCTATGGACTTTTTAATGTCTACAGTCTCAGATCAACACAGCCCTTCTCTTCCCATATTAGATTCTTGATGAATGTGTGTTGTTGTTATTCAACCTGG